CTTTCCCGTCAAAAAGTTTTGGCTTTAGGATGAAATTGTGTTTGCTTGTGCTGACCTATTGTTAGTTGCATCATCATTCTTTTTTCTCATTTTGTGGGTTTTTTGACCTAGACTTTCCAGCTTTTTAAGAGATATCCTATTGGTATGATTAATTTAAAAAGAAACATTATATAAATATGAAAATAGGAGAAGTATAGAAAAGCATTTAAAAAAATACATAAAATTCCAACATTTTCTTTTGAGCCTATATCTAAAAAATAATGTATTTTAAATAAAAAATAGTTAAAAAATAACACAGTGCATGCATGTTTCATGGTCTTATAAAGTACACATCTTGGAAGAAGATGTATAGGGACATCTGCTTTATTAATTATGGTGGAACACACTAAACCTAAAACACAAAGGAAACTGCTGAGGAACTGCTAAACTCGCCAGTACAGCACAAGAAAAAGGCATGATAATACAGTTGCATGATCTTTTTTGGGTAAGATGTAGATATTTCTCAGCTTATTTGATAGGCTCTTGCTGAAGCCATAAACCAGAACCAGAGAAGACAGCAGCTAAAGCAGAGTAAATTTCTAAAAGTTCAAGAAAACCAAACAAAAACTACTGCTAAGGTGATGCTGCAGTACCTTAGTAGTCAGTTTTGAATAGAAATAAACCAATTCCTTAGATCTTCACTCACTTGCTCAAGTTAGCCTTGACTTTAATTAAAGATTAAACTTGGTATGTGCAATAAAAATCTAACTCTCAATTAACAGTGTAACACTGTGTAGAGCTGTTTGCGCTGTGTGTAAGCTCTCATACGTGCGAAAATGGTCCATGGTTAATGGTGGTGTGACTGAGAAAAGAGCATGCTAAATTAACAAAGAAGTTCTTATGAACTGCAAAACGTTCACGTTGTGCTCACGTGTTGATAGTAAAAATCCACAAGTTCTGTATTGAGATGAAAGAATCTGGTGTGAAAACATAATTAAAGTTTTCTTAAGTTTGAGTGTGCTGTGAAAGCTTTTTTTTAAAAAAAAAAAAAACCAACCCCAAAACACACTAGTTTTCATGAGAATCAGGATTTGATGTTTTTATTAGCTTCTGCATTCCATATTACCAAAAGACCTAATCAATTTTTAATTGAGATCCATAATCTCCTGCAGACAGTATTGATGTAATTGCTGGTAGCATTTAAAGGCAAAGGATTGCGAAACCGATTATGTTGCTGTTCTGTAGGTGGCACGGGGAATAAAGATTCAAAGATTGGAAAAGAGGAGACTGAGGGGAGACCTAATTAATGTTTACAACTATGTTAAGGAGGATGGAGCCAGGCTCTTCTCAGTGATGCCCAATGGTAGGACAAGGGGCAATGGGTGTGAGCTGGAACACAGGAGGTTCTGCTTAAACTTGAGAAGAAACTTCTTTACGATGGGGGTGACCGAGCCCTGGGACAGGCTGCCCAGGGAGGGTGTGGAGTCTCCTTCTCTGGAGACATTCAAAACCCACCTGGACACCTTCCTGTGTGATCTCATTGAGGTTCCTGCTCTGGCAGGGGGGTTGGACTGGATGCTATTTTGAGGTCCCTTCCAATCCCTGACATCCTGTGATTTGGGTGCAGCTGCTTTAATGAAAACATCATTTCTGTTTGTAGACCCCTTACCACGTCAACCTCCTCCTGGCTGGCTACGATGACCACGAGGGTCCTGCCCTTTATTACATGGATTACCTGGCGGCTCTGGCTAAAGCTCCTTTTGCAGCACATGGGTACGGTGCATTCCTCACCCTCAGCATCCTCGACCGCTATTACAAACCAAGTAAGTGGAGTCTATGGAGAAGAAAATTTAATAAATTTAAGGCTTAAACTGAGAGATTTGACATTTGCTGAGTCAGATGGTCCAGCACCATTGCTGCGGTGCTACAGATTTGCACTTGACTTTTTGCTGGAGTGAATGTGGCTTTAAGGATTGCCTTCTGGTTTTGCTGAAAGGGTAATGTGAGACTAGTCAACTCCTTCGTGTTTTCCTCTTTGAAGCATAACAGACTGTAAGTGAAGGAAGTTTCAAGTTATTTTAAAACATGACTAGACTTTCCTAGACCATTAGCTGCTGGTAGTCTGTTTTTAATAAATAACATTTTGATAACTTTATCTTCCACTTGCCTGTCTGTTGGCTGTGACAGGTACCTTTTCCCAGAGTATCAATCTTCAGAGGGCAGTCCCCCCATCCTATTGCTCTCTGCCTTGGATTGACTTTGTGTGTGATATATTAAAAGCATACAAGTGAGAAGATATTCCTAGCAAGATTATCTTCAGTACTCTGAAATGAATCATAGAATCATAGAATGGTTTGGATTGGAAGGGACCTTAAAGATCATCTAGTTCCAGTCCCCCTGCCATCAGCAGGGGGATTGGAATGGTGATGATTGGTTTGGTTTACAGCTTTATGCACATGATAGCTCTTGATCATAATTCTTTTACATGTCTGTACCTGTTGTAAGTTTTAATTTTAGAATCATAATCCAGTTCTTACACTGCCAAGGAATAAACACAACCCCATCCCTGCTTTACTGATGAGGAAATGTACAAAGCTTGGAATATTGTTAATCTGGCATCTTTGGCTTTAGCTGTAAAACTACTTTACTGCAGTGTGCAAAGCTGAGATAGCAGAGATGTTTGCTTGGTAATCCTTTCATCTATCTCCTGCAAGAAATGTAGCTATAAACTGACAATATTACTCTGAGACTTCTGCCTGGACAGTGGATGCGGGTCTGGAACAAACTAGAAACAACTTTTGTGAGTTCTGCAGAGCTTAGTTGTTTTCTAGTCATGTCCCTTGAAAATTCTACTGCTCTGTCTTCACCATTCCTTGTGAAAAGAGAAAACCAGGGAGTTACAATACGTTGTCATGGCCTGCCATCCCTCCAGAGCACTGGATTTTCTCCTGATCTGTGAGAATAGCTGGGGCATCACACACGTGCCTTTCCCATTATTAAAACTAATACCCAGCAGGGAACGCAGCACTAAAACCCACCTCCGCCTACTGTCACTGCCTCGCAGCCGGCCGTGGACAGATGGAGCTGATTTAAAACTGTAATAAACTCGAGGAGAGGGAGACGGCTGGACTTCTCCAAAGCCTGGTCCCTGGCCATGGGAGGCAGAATTCCGTCATGCTTCCCATTCAGTGTAACAAATCGATTCTCAATGGCTTGTTGCAGTGTGAGTGCCTTGGTGCAGGGCGTCCTCGGTACATCTGGAAAGTGTTTTCTGTGAGCTGGGAAGGAGAGGTTTTGGTGCTCAGCTGAAAAGTTGTTTAAATTTAATAAAGTTTCTGTTGAGAGAGATGGCCTCTAATTAAATCAATCTGTGGATGTTTTTCTCTTTCAGGTATCACACGTGAGGAAGCTGTGGAGCTCCTAAAAAAATGTCTAGAGGAGGTGAGTTGCCAAACTTAGGCCCTTGTGATCTTGAGAAAGGAATGCTTGTTTGCATTCATTTGCTGATATTTTCCTGTTCCTCTTGTTGCATTTTTTTTGCTGTCTTTGCCAGAAGGGGTAATAAATGCACATTGACCAGATGTGGAATAGCTACTGAGGAAAAGGATTTGTGGGCACTTGCCTTGTCTTAGCATGGTTCATAGCCTCCAGAATGTAAATTTGAGGCTTAATTACTTTTCTTTACTTCTGCTTCTGCCATGCTTGGCATAATATTGATACAGACAGTCTTTGACTTTTTCCTTTTATGTTTCTTCTGAACACAGTGCAAGCATCCTTCTGTTACTTGCATTAAACTTTTAACTAGTATATACTTCTAAGTGTACTTCTCTTACAGCTTGTGAAGTGATATCTAACTGAGGTAAAGTTTTGACCTTAAAATTAATGATCCATTTTAACATAAACATAACCTTTCAGACTCCAAGGCTTTTATTGTAGGAAAATAATCTTTATCCTTGTCTTTAAGACATTGAATTGAATGTAAATTGGGAAGAAACAACTGGGGAAACCTCAGGAAGAAGTACTCTACAGAGGCTCTGAAGTATCTTTTTGATACATACTCTTTGTGCCCTAAGTTGTAGCCCACTGTAGTCATCTCCTGGTTAAATGTCTTCCTTGTTAACGAGCTTGCATGTTTTGGATCTCTGTGCTAGGCTTGTCTTAACATGTGTAGTCCTGTAACAGAGAACAGACTCATACTGATTGATTCCTGAGCACTGAAAAAAACCCATTGTAGTTCCTAAAATTCCAGGTCACTAGAATCAGGATGGAAATTTTGATGTGCATCAGCAAATCCCCTGAATTATGCTCTCCTCTTTCAGCTCAGCTTTGAAGGACTCTCATCTCTTTTGTCTTTTTGTCTCTTGTTGAACAGCTTCAGAAACGCTTCATCCTAAATCTGACTTCCTTCAACGCCCGGTTTGTTGACAAAGATGGCATCCATGAAGTGGAAAATATACCCCTTACAAAAGTGGTGTCCTAACCCCTGAGATCTTTCTTCAGCAGTCTTCTTTTTTGTTCACTTTTGTGTTTTTTGGTTTTTTTTCCTATTCATTTGAAGCACACAAGTCATGTACCGCACTGGGAGATCGAATAAAGATTGACATTTATATAGCCAGTTTTATCTCTTTGTTCCCCTGATCCTTCCTGAGAGTACTGAGGTAAATTGTTCCACAGTGAAGGTGAAACTTGATTTACTGTTAATGGGTGCACATTCAGGTTACTTATCTCGTCTCCTGAGATTTTTACTTCTCCCTCCCCATAAGTTTTCTTATGTGTGGGAAGGCTGGTACTGTATTTTCTAGATGACAATGTGCTGTCATCCACTGTCATAATTAAAGCTCGGCAAACACCAGGCAAGTGTTTCGTGCTAAACATACAGCATCTGCTTTATTTTTCAAGAGGTGTTACCACTGTTTGCTTTATAAAACAATAATCAGACTTTCAAAGACTTTGTTTGCTTTTGTTATACTTTGTTTCAGTCTAATCCACTGAAAGGTAAAAGAACAGATTTTCAGGTAGAATGGATTTTTAAAATGCTAGTGTCATTTTTAACTCACCTGGCCGTGGTTTTGTTACTGGGAAAGAATATTCTCCTTCTGGCACAGTAGGCTCACAACTACATTAAGTATTTTAAATATAAACTGATTTATTAATTGCATAATTTTTTCTTAATTGATGTCTGTACATTTAGAAGTATGAGAAAGCAGTTGAATGAGAAATAAAGCTGCAGCACTTCTCTTAAATCTTGGAATGATTCTCAGCTAGCTGGAGCTTTGTCTCCATGAGAATAATCCCTGATCTGTCTAGGCTCTCGATAGTGCTTCCATATAAAAACTCCATTCACTGAGCAGCCTCAGATAATTATCATGTGGTGATACTTGCAGTCTGCCCAGAAGTGATTCTTCTGAAAATAACTTTCATTGAGACTGCTTCCCTAATTGAATTTGCATGGATTGAGTTAACCATTTCAAATGTTCTGTTTGGGTGCTTATTTTATGTTTGAATAAGCTGGGAAAAAGAATCTTGGAAATAGAAGGATGGATTTGTACAAGATGGTGTGTGAACTGCATTACTCATGTGGCATGGTGTAACACCTAAGTTCTCAGGTGGAAAAGGTAAGTGACAGACTGACCTGGCTTTATTTGGCAAAGCTTTTGTGGTCTTGCTTCAGTAGTGTGTTTGAGAATGTTGCTCTCTTCTCCAAAAAAATTGTCACTCTTAAAGATCAAGTGTTCCCATCTCGGTGAACATGTGAGAACTGGATTAGAGGCTGAGACTTGCTTAATGTCACAGAAGAAATTTGCAGCTGCAGTGCCTTAACTCGTCCAGCCTCTTAAGACTGCCCTTACTTAAATCTAATTCTTAACTGAAGTCCCATCAGGCTTTGTAGTTTAATTTTTTCCAGAATGAGTTTAATTATCAGCTGGTGGTGGTGTAGTCATCGCTGCAATGGCTTCTAGTGAAGGCCAATGGCATATAACTCTCTGAAACTAAACTTAGTCTTCAAAAAAAACTTTTCAAACCTTTTACACTATAGGAAAGGAAGTGCCCAGCATGGTTATTTTCTCTTGGCAGGTCACATTTAACATGAGGAGTGAGCGTTCTAGTTCTGTGACTGAAATCTCACCCCTTCATGTTGCATTAATGTATTTGTTTAGCTTAACGTGCAGCATCTCTAATTTATTTTACCACTGATGTTGAATGTTTTTGCAGGTTTCTTGTCTCTCTTTTCAAAGTCACCATTGCAGAGCGGCTGAGCTGATGTGATATTTTTGTCACTGCATATCAAAGTAGAAATGTCTCCTTATTGGAGGTACTTATTATTTCAGGCACTAAAACCGGGGTGTGGTGCTATTAGATCATGTGAGTCTGGCAGAGAATCTGCCTGGAGTTTTTATTGGCACCTATTTGCATGCAGGTGATTAATAAACATAAAACAATTATTCCCTTGCAAACAGGCGTGTTGGATTCAGGTTGGAGTGGAACATATGTTTTGCCTGAGGGCAGAGACCGGGATCTGAATCCCTCATTGAGTGGAAGATACAAGGGGTTGCAACAGAAGCCAACAGAGCAGCAACCTCTAGGAATGAATAAATACAGCCCTTCAGTGCAAAGCAGTAAACAAAAGAATTGGCCCACAGTGAGATTGAACTCCAGCCTCTAACAAAGTAGATTCTTTTGAGGACTTTCCAAGAATTTACATTTTTTTAAGGAAAGGTGTAATACTTTTGATGTGTAACTGTGTTTTGTTCTAAAGGTCTTACAGTGCTGATCTTTAAATTCAGAAACATTCAACTTTCATTTTTGACAGTAAGATATGGAATCTGTTTGAAAAATCGATGTTTTAATTTTCCCATTTGCATTACTTAAGGAGAAAACCTCTTACCTGCTTCAACTTTAGCCCTAAAGCTTTTGGAAACCATATTTTGCCTAAAATCCAGCAATATCTTTTGGAAAGAGTTCACCTTTCCATTTGAAAATTACATTTATCATGGTAGGCATCACTTTCATAAGAGATCTCAAAGAATTGAGCGCTGCAAGAAAGTACTGCTTCCTACTAATAAGCTTTTTTTGTTCTTCATATTATTAAACATTAATGTTGTAAACCTTGGGCATTGTGGCCTCAGTGAGCTGTTCTGCTTTGCTTTGGCTCCTAATTCTGACCATATGTTTTACCTCCAAAGCCTCAGGGCCTAAAGAGTTAACAAGGCCTTTTTTCTCGTGTTAGGTTTCCTGTTTAAGGTCGGTCTCTTCCTGAGCACTGTGCCTCTAACAGATCATTGCACCAGCTCATCTCTCCAAGAGCTTGGGGTTTGCTCTGAGATCGCTTTACAGGGGAACAGAGTCTCTGAGCCTTAGGCCACCTTACTTGAGGAGTGTTTTGCTGAAGGAAGTACCTGAGTGTAGGTGCAGTGCTTGTAGGTCATTTTCTTGATGTTAATTATACCTTTTAGTGACAAAAAATCTGTCTTTAGACCTTCCTGCAGACTAGAACCATGGGCACAGAGGAGCTCATCAGTACTCGGATGGCGGGTGGGTGTAATTGTACTTGGCACGAGTTTGTAATGTCATCAGGACAGTTCTGCAGCCCTAAAAGTGATGACGTGACTAGATGTCAGCTGGAGTGATGGAGCTTCAGCTGACAGCCACACAGAAATGTGCAATTAAAGATTGAAATGGTGAAAGGTGAAAATTACCTCCCCTTGTGCTGTATTTATGTGGAAGTACCGGTGGGGGAGAGTTCCCCAAATTGATTCACCTACATGTTGCCCCAAGATTTTTCCAGTCCAAAAAATTAAACAGTTAAACAAGCCAAGAGATGCCTCAGCCGTGGGCTGGTGAAATGCTGTGGGCAGGGACTGCATTTTCTGTGTGAACCTGAGGGCCCTCAGCAGGTGTGCTTGTAAAAATTAGTGAGCCAGTGTAGAGACTCCACAGCAAGAGAGTCATCAAAGATCCAGAACTAAAGTGTGTTTGAGTAATTCTGTGCAGGATTCTCACCAGTCTCTGACTTCTGTCCATGGTGAAGTGATGAAACAGTCGCTGGCAGAAACTCTCCAACAAAATGGAGCTGTCATTTTTCAGAGTAAAGATGTAGGAGCGGAGGGGATCAGGCCAGACGCTCCCGAGGATGCGTTTTCCTTTGCTCTCATCTCTGGTTTTGACAGCAGGTTCCTACAAGAAGCAGGAGCTGGTGCCAGGGCTGACACTGTGGATTATGTCCATAGTGTTTAGGATTTGGTTGATTCCATTTTCCAGTCTGAAGCAGGGTCAGAATATTCCTTTCGTATGAAGTCACTTGGTGTCTAATGAAGGAAAACCCTCTGACTTTGCTACCTGTAAAACGCTGTGTCTGTAAAGAAAAATACATTTATCCTACTCATAAAAAGTTTATTCTTCAAGCCATTTTAAATTCTTTTTCTTTAAACCTTTAACATTATACCGAATTTCCATGTGGTGTTATCAGTCTGCCATCAACAGTAATTAAGTGCAGGAAATTTTCATGTGAGCACTGATCAAACTAAACAGATGGAAGTTGTTTTAACAGATTTTAAAAAGCAGAATGGAAATGGTGGAATTAAAGCATGCAACTTTTTTTTTTTTCCCCTTATTCTTGACTACATTGGTTTGTACCTTTGTGTGCTCTTGACTTGCTGAGGACTACGTTAAAGATAAGTTAGTTGTCTTGAAAATGTAAAGTGACAGGTTAAGCGTTTTGTTTCTGTGCTAATGTGCAATTAGGTAGTTATCCAATAAGCTTGTTCATGTAGTCTAACTCAAGACAGCTGTGGAAGGAAGAGAGAAAACCCTTTGCTGTTGAAAAATGGTGAGAGGGGAAAGGATGTTTTAAAGGATCTGTTTCGGAATTGCCAGTGTGTTCTTCTCCCTGTGTAATATAGTAACGCTTTAAAGGTTAGCAAGACTTATTAGAAATTAAATTCTACTGATCAAATGTATACAGGTAAAACTAAAATATGGAGAGATCTGGATGCCAGCAGATGTAGTACAGGTTTGGATCTACAAATTAACTCTAAGGCAATCATACAAGGTGAGGACAAGAGAATAATCTAGTTGTCTGAAAAGCAGGCTCCATAGTATCTTGTGTGGGTATTTTTAGGATTATTGACAGTATCCTACCACAGTGCCACCAAAATTCCTTTGGGTTGAAGTGATGCTTGATCTCCTCTTGCTAAAAGTTGTACTTGAAAGGCAACAGATGCCACCACCCTGGTACAGAGCTCTTGGGACTCTTGGTTTGTGGTGGAAACCTGTGCATCTCCCAAGCCTCTTCCATTCAGCAGAGGGCAGTGATCTTGCATGCACCCCGCTGCCTCCTTACAAACTTGTCCACCCTCTTCATCTCTGTGCAGATCATCTGATGGGCACAGAAACTCGGCGCTACAGGGAACAGAGTAATGCCTGTGCAGTGGCAGGGGGAGGTACAAGGTTGTTTCTTCCCTTGGAAGATGCACATTTCATTGTTCACAAGTGTCGGACAGTTGTCCCGTGAAACAGGTAATTATCTGTGTTTTCACAAGTGAAGGCTGAGATAGTGACTTGCCAAAACAGTCAAAAAGAGCTGGAATCCATCCTCCGCTAGTTAGTCCAAGCTAC